ACTATGTCGTGATTTAAAATAATCCAATATGCAATTCTTTCAAAGCAGTTTTTAACAATATGTCTGCTATTTAGTGCTTTCAAATGGATTCTCATCTTAGAAACTGTTCAGATTGACATACCAGGAGTAAATTGTCCAATGGCCAACTCCTTTAAACGATATATATTCAATTGTGAAAGTAATGCACAGATATCATACCAAGAATTTAATGCTTTTAATATATAACAATTCATACAATACATGCGAGGATACACTAATATATGCTGATGAAATATCTTTCCTGCAAGTGCCATGTACTCTATTTGTACTCTAAGGAATATACATTCAATGTTTTATTGTGAAAGTAAAGGGTTACAGTCATTGCAAGTGTTTACAAGTGATTTTGTTTTTAAAGTTTAGAAGATTATAAAGCCTTCTTTTCAGATGCACAATACCAACAGATACTGTGCAGTTTACAACAAATGTAGGACGGTTACTATGCATGGAATTAATTCTGAAGAAATTATGACTTGTAGGCAGAGTAGCACGCTCACCGGAGGTGGGGAAGCTCCGGCGGCTGAAATGTATTTTTTTCAACCCCAAAAAAGGAAGGTCAAAAAAAAAACCTGAGAAATCTAAAGCTACTCACAGACAAGGAGTCTAGTCCCAGAATAAAACTAACTAGGTGACTTTTCAGGGACCAGGTGCCCAAAGGTAGACCACCCCCCCCCCCAATTCAGGGAGGCTACTAAAGCCGGTCCAATGAACAATAAATAGGGCCCCCACCAATTTTAATGCATTGAAACAGTATTTTGCTCGGGTTCGATAGCGCTAAACGAAAAACAGTAGCGTCAAGGAAAGGAGGCTGGTTTCGACTGAAGGCACTATCGCGCTAATGCTTTCGCGCATAGGGCTCCTTGGTGGTGCGGGCTGGGTCAGCGAACACAGTCTGACATGTCACAACCAACCTGTAGAGGCCCTCCTGCAGTGCTTGGAGGTCTCTCAGGTAATAGTTAATGAAGACATTCTGAGATCTTCAGAACCCTGCTCGAAGCACCTGCTCGAGCGAGGCCCCAGACAGCAAATGAGTTAGCTACCCCGCGCACCTTCACCTGGTGGCGTTCCAAACGGACTGATGAAGAAGCAGTTAACCTATACGCTTCCATGACCGTATCAACAATCCAATGCGTAATGGTGATATTCGAAGCAGGGTGGTTTGCCCCGCCCATAACAGACAAACATGCGCTTCTCACTGCCCCTAGACACCTTGGTGCGGTTGCAGTACCAGCTCAGAGCTCAGACCGGGCATAGAATCTGTCCCAGACGGTCCTCCTTGCCCACTATGAAGTGCGGCGTGGGATGACTGTCGGCTCAGGGTCACGCCCTGGGATTCCTTGCAAGAAAGTCCAGCCAAGTCTTCAAAATAACTAGTGAGTTCATAAAGGAGGCACATCCGCCACTAAAGGACAGTGCCCAGTCAGGAGGATTAGCTAGCCCCTTGGCGTGTGGCCCCTTGGAGCGGAAAGACTAAACAGTTGTAACATAATAGAACTCGAAACCAGTTTCAGTCCAGCAGATTCTATAAAACTGGGAATAAAACTGACTGATATCCAAGAATTGTCGATATAGATTTTCCTTGATCAAAGATATAGGAAACAATCGGCTACCTCGCTAATAGAGGAACTGAGATGATCAATCTCCTTTCGTCACACAAATCAGTCGTTGAGATATGGGAGACCGGTGTAGCAGTTGGGTCACCTGTCTTAGCACACTGGTGAAGATGTACGGGTGCTGTGCACAGACCGAAAATGAGGGCGGTAAACTTTGCCCTTTATGGGATTCTGATATACCGGCTGCATGAGTGGTGAATGGGAATGTGGAGGTAAGCGTTGCTCAAATCCATTGATGCCAGCCAATCGCCCGAGTGCTCTGACAGAAGTACCGAAGCTGGTGTTTCCATCTGGAACCGCTTATTCCACAAACCCGTTCAGTCGACTGAGGTCTAGGACTGGACGCCACCCCCCCCCCCAAACACTTGGGAACACAGAAGATGTGGGAAAGTACCCTAGCACTAAATGGGGGTTCCCTGCTAGGCGTATAACCTTTTTCTCTAGAAGGCTTGCTACTTTCTGTCGTCTCTGTCTTGAGGAGGAGACCGAAACGGAATCTAATACCCATGCGACACTACTTCGAGTCCAGGGATCAGAAACTCTTGTGCGCCAAGCTGGAATGTGCTGCACAAGGCACGATCCCACTGGAAGGAGTGGACAGGCGTTCGGAGCTAGTGCTTCCCGAACTCTAGCCACCAGTATGAGAGGATGAAGAGGGGGAGACTGAGCCCGAGGACTCCGTGGAAGGAGAACCAGAGTCATACCACTATCCATGCCCGGGCAGCCGGCGAAACCTTCAAAGAGACTTCGCGGCCCCCTGGTCCCCAGAATTGTCAAAACGCCCACCACCAAAGCCACATTGCTTGGGCTTTCTCCGACGCTTCCCGCTAGTCTTCTTCTGCCCTATCAAAGGAGACCATGAGCGCTTTGATCCTCAATTGGATACGCTGATCTTCTGCAACCACCAAACCGTTCACCGCATCTACTAACCGGCCACCACATAGCCGGTCACGCCCCGAAGGCCTTCTCCACAGGCGTACAAACTCGTCCCATGCTAGAGTAGGATAGGCACACAGACCCAGAACTGCCTCATGCTCAGCCGAAACTGTTCCTGCCAATAGGGCAGTATGAACTTGTGAGATATCGTATATAGCGACTCCCTGCGCTGCCAGGAACTGGCCCATCTGCCCAAGGTTCGTTGCTGAGCACTCTGACAGTCAGAACTAAGCAAGGTGAGCTGATGCTCTAACGCTAAAGAAACCCATTCTATAAAATTGATGGGTCTACGTTCTGCCCGTAAAGTCCTATGCACTATAGGCTCTGGTGCAGGTCAAATGACCACGGAACGTGGCTTTCCCGATCCGCACTACCCAGACTTTTAGCCAGCCACCCGTCCACCCGTCATTTGGACGGGCAATCACCTTTTTGGACAGGTGTTAAAATCACAATGACGGGCATAATATTATTAAACCCGTCTTCTCTGAACAAAAAAAAAAATGTTTGGCAGGGAATGGAAAATTGCGACACTAAGATAATCAAATCGTATATCTGGCAACCGTATTTTCATTGTTTTCACTTTTAGAAAGACGCAACATTGAATATTCAAATGAATACAGTTCGCCAACTGAATCCACGCTTACTCGCTCAGCCAATCACGATCCTTGTTATAGCATTCATCGGATTGTATGACCCCTCAGCTGTAGAAATGGCGTCTCCCGGTGTACGGAAGATCAACTTTCTTCACTCCAAAGTGAGTTAAAACAGGTTAGATTTTATTTATCACGTATAAATATTTGTTTTTAATATGGGATAGGAAAACTATTATTCGAATAAGTGAAGTTTTGTCTGAAAATCATTCACATTTCTGGCGACTGTGATCAGTGTCAGTCACCGTGACTCGATCGGACCAGGGAGTCTCGTTACAGGTTCTTGATCAGACTAATCAGAAAAAAAAACGCACGTATAAAAACATTTCAAAGTTGTAAATCGGTGCAAGTTCTCAAGAAAAATCGTTCGTTTGCATTATGTTTAATTTTATATTATTAACATGAAATTCAGCGACTTGCATGCTGATCAGTCATCTCGGATTCGATTCTCGTTTGACTGGATTTGTGCGCTGAAATTGAGTGACTGCGTAATATCTTAAAATTGTGTGCGATGTGTAACGTTTTCGTTTGAAGTGGGCGAATTTGTTGAAGTTTTATTTTATTCTAGTTATTGTTTGAAATTTTTATTTTATTAATAATTTTGTATTCTATCAATATTTTAATATTTATTTTCTATGTTTCAATTTAATTTTTTTTCTAGAACATGTTTGGAAATTTAATTAATGTGTTTGGAAAAATATGCATGGCTTTACACAGCTGACAGTTATTCAAAGGTAAGTTTTTTTTTCCTTTATACAATTGTACTAGTTTGCTAAAAAAATAATGATATATCTTTCACAGACACTGAAGATGATGCTTCAGCATCAACTTCTAGTAGTGGTCGTAGTACAGAACATAACCATGGTACACCCGATACTGTTTCAAGCGACAGTAGTTCTGATAAAAGGAAGTCAGCCAGAAGATTTTGCCTTGAATGGCTAGATAGTTACAAGTGGATCAGTTACAGTAATAATCGCATCAGACATAAAAAAAGTGGCCCATGGGTTTCAACTGGAACAGATAATTTCAGATACTATAAAATGCAGTTTTATTTAAAAATGCAAATTAACGAATTTGTTTCTGGTATTGCTATAATTGTGTCATGATACATTCACATTTTGTTTTTTTCATTTTGCCTTAAATTGATAATACCGGGTAATACTAAGTAATTTCACACTGACGAAAACATTTATTTTCTTTGCCAATTTTTCATAATCCCAGGGCTACAGGATGCGAAACTGAACATAAATATTACAAAAAACAACAATATGCTTTATTTTCTGCATAATACATTGTATTCACATTTGCCTTCTAGGTTGAAGACAATAAAAGACCATTTCAAAAGTAGTGACCATCAGTCGTCATTAAGTGCTGATAACCCATATCAACAAACAATTGTGATCAGTTCCCTGCAAGAGAAAAGAAATAACTATCATTGCAGCCTGTAGAAGTGTATATTGGTTAGCTTTAGAGGAAACAGAAAATATCAAAGTCTGATAAACTTTCAGAGGCTCCAAGGTGTTCAAGATATAATAAATTTGCGTAAAGGTGGTAATGCCACATATGAAAGTGCTGACATCTTTAATCAAATTCTGGCAGCATTAATTCAAGTAGTTGAAAATGATATTACTGAAGATATAGCACGAAGTCCATTTGTTGGTGTTGGCACAGATGAGAGCACCGACAGAAGTACTGAAAAACATGCTGTATTTGTTATACGGTATATTAAGCTTCAGACTGCATCATTAAAGACAACATTCCTGAAAATGAAAAGCATAAGAGATGGAAAGGTCGAAACTATTTTTAATGCTTTAAAAGATGAATTACGAGACAAAGGCGTGAAATTTCGAAGGATGGTTGGCTTTGGAGCAGATGGGGCTAACGTTATGGCTTCAGATATGAATGGTGTAACTGGTTTAATTCATCAGGACAACCCTTACTCTGTATGCATACATTGTGTATGTCATCGTTTACATCTAGCAGTCAGTCAAGCATGCAAAAATATCCCTGAAATGGTGCTACTGAATGATACCTTATCTACACTATATGCTTATATAAGCCGCTCACCAAACAAATTGCAGAAGTTCAAGGACTTTGCTGAGTTAATAGGCCAGAAAGCTATAAAATTGAAACGAATCTTTGATATTAGATGGCTGAGTATGGGTGAGGCAGTATTGGCAGTCTTGAAGAATTATGAACCACTTGTTATGATGATTGAAGATGAAGCAGCAACAGGGGATCCTACTGCAATTGGTCTACACCAACAAATGACAACTTACCTGTTTATAGCACTCCTGCATTTAACTGCCGATGTCCTTAGTGCAACAAATCATTTGAGCAGAGTCATGCAATATAGAGATGTGTGTTTTTCAGTGTTACATGGTGTTGTACGTATTTCTAGTTTCTAAGTGTATTGTATAAACACAAACAAGTTTACTGAAATCTGTTTCTTTCTAAACATATTTCTAATTTTATGTTTCAGTTTGATGACTGCATTGAAGTATTACAGAGGCTACAAAATGAAAATGGCACCTTTATGCAAATACTGAGTAACGAATTAGATGCAGATCCAATTGGTATGTTCAAAGGCCATCAAATTACTTATCAGAATAGGAATGCAAGGGCTGGTAATCGCAATTATGAAGATGTTGTGAATGGTACAAGACAACTATTTCTTCAGAATTTATTGAACAATTTAAGGGCAAGATTTCCACAGATTCCTTTGTATGTAGCTATGCAGGTAAAATATTACATTATGATTCATTTGGTTAAGTCAATAAACTATTTTGTTCTCTCAGCAAAATGAGTACTCCTAGCTCACTTAATTTTAATATTTATTTATTTTGCTTGTTTTATTATTAGATATTTGAGCCAGCATCTTATCCACCCGAAGATAGATTACTTAACTGGGGTGTTGATTATCTTGAGGTCCTTCTAGAGCACTATGGTTTACCCAAAACAAATAAAAATGGTGAACAATTTGCTCCAATTATTGACAGTGATGTTGTTAGAGCAGAATTTCTACCATTTAAAAAATTGGTCAGTCACAACAGGGGTGAAATGCAGGAAGATCACTTTCACTTCTATACACCTACTAAGTTGATGGAAAAAATATTTGGCAATGAACAACAGCTAATCAACAATTTTTTCCTGGTAAGTTGTACATGTCAAATGCTAGGTTTGTCAAATTAGGTTTTCTCTAATCTGATCTCTGAAATATCTGTTGTTGTTTTGATGATAAATATATGGAAATTAGCAATGAAGATTGTGGAAATACATTTACAATAAATTTTACACATTTCTTTTTATTTATTTTTGAAAATAGGCATGTTCAACCTGATGGTGCTGGTCTTGTGCATATTGGTTGGGAATGCAGAGGCAGAAAGGGTGTTTTCATGTCAGAACCGCATTAAAACAAAACTTAGAACACGTTTGAACATCACAACTTTGGATCAGCTCATTCGTTTAAGCTATGAGGCAATACCTATTGAGGAATTCCCCTTTCAAAGGACACTGTTGTTATTTGATGCCCAGCCAAGAAGAATATAAATACGATATGCCATTCAGCTCTTTGAATTTCACTATTACTATTAACAGTGTATAAATTTAAAAATAAAGTACATTTATATACTGATTTGATTTTTTTTTATTTGTTGTCGGGGACACTCCCTGAGTCCCCTCCCTAGAAACTCTTCCCTTGGCCTTGGGCGACGCGGCGTTGCTAGGACTTCATTTTTGTTTGGACAGGCAGTTTTTTTATTCTGGCTAAAAGCCTGCTACCCTAGGGGGTGACTTTATTCAACTCTTCCCCCTACCCTAGTGGTAGGAATGAATACTCCCCCCTAACACTACAAAATATTATAAATATATAAATAAAATAAATAGTCTGAACTTTGTATAAATAAAGCTTAATACCAAAACTGCTGTAGTAGTGCAGGGACTATGATAGTATACATTACTGCATATATTACTGCATTTTTGGTGGTTTTTGGCCTACTCCTCTCACTGTTATGTTAGAATTACCGCGAGAGTGCCTCCTATGGATTGTCAACATGGCGGCTCACAATGTTACGTTCGGTAAGTCTTTTTTTTTTGCGTTTTACACGAAAAAAAGCAATTTTTAGAAAATAACGTACGATTTCTTCAATTGTTGGCGCCTTTTTTGTTGCAAAAATGCTGGTCGTGAAAATGAAAAACGTAATTTTGTTGGGGATTTCGAGAGCTTTACAACGATATGTAGATCGACCATATACACGTTATGTCCCTCATAGGAGTAGTGAATTG